AAAAACCCCCCCCCCCCCCCCCCAAAAAAAAAAAAAAAGTCTGGTGAAAGTTTTTTTTTGTTAATAGTACTTTGATTTTTTTTTTTTAAGATTACTTCATTACACTAACAAAAAAACACTTCATACATTAAACAAAAGCTGGTGAAACAGCAATTCCCACTATCAAGAGCTGTAATACATTGAAAAAATGCCTGAGAGTGAGAGCTACTTACGCAATTGTACGACCGCACTTTCTCCATTTGTTGCAATGTAGTGCAGAGTTTGCTCTCCGTAGTACGAAGCACCCGTTTTATCAACTTCTGTACTAGCTATTACTAGCACAGCAGTGGCTAATAGAACAGACACGCAGTTACTTTAATACAATTATTGCAAATTATATAAACTATTTCACAAACTACCATGAACAAAGAGAAATTAGTTCGATTATGAATTCTAGTTAGTTGCTTACATAACAGTGCCGTTATTCTCTTCTGAATTTAATTTCTCCTCAGTGTTAACCCAAACAGAAGGAGTATATTCCTTTCTCAAATGAAAAGTATGAGCTAAGTCTATTCATCCACCATTGAATTACGATAAAGCGAACATACTTTTGCAGCCATAAAAAAAGATACCCATCTAAGGCAGAAACCAAGCAACCTGATCAGTCCTTGAATGAAATGTTTCATCAACAGCTCTTGTACGTATATCTATTTTATCCAAAACTGTGTGCCCACATGTGGTTTCTACATGTACATAATACCTTCCCTGTATTCCAAACAATGTGGGTTGAAGTAAAACAGTTTTTACAAAATTATTCTGAAACAGCTCATAGCTAACAAATAGCAAAGCACACAGAGGACTGTCCAAGTCCTCCCAGTTGCAATACGCCTGGGTATATACAATTTTACAGATTAAAAACAGTTTATGCTCTAGTATAATCTTATGTTTACTGCCCAAGTACACTGTCATCACAGAATGCAAAATTAAATTTGAATTTGTTATTCAACTGCAAAATTTACCACCATGTAGAATATTCTCAATTACAATATACAAAATCATGGAAGTCAATACTGAAAAGTTATGAGTACTTCAGGGTATTCAGAATTGTAACCTTAACGTTGCACTGGCATTAATGGCTATCTTCAGTATTTATCTGCACATGCAAATTAAATGCAAAACCCACACAGTAAACAAAGTAATTAAATCCAAAATGGGTGGAATACAAAAACTTAAACATAGAGCTATTATACCTTTTTTGTTCCATAGCATTGTCACCTTGTCAGCTTTAAAGAAACTTTTATTGGCTAGTGCAGACTGAGGGCCACCAAAGTTGGGATACTGATAGAGTCTAACAAATGACGGTGCGCCTTTACTGCCTGGAACATACACAGCCACCTAAAACAAAGCCACGAGATTTTATTGCAGGCAATATTGTTGGTAGCACAGGGTCTATTCACTACTAGTATGCTGTACTAAAATTATAGTAATTTTTTGAAGAAAACCAAGAAAAAAATTGGAAACATCATCAGAAATACCTTGGTTGGCTGTGCTCCTGGAGATAACACAAAATCATTAACCTTCTGCAAATGCAGTTTATTTGCAATAGTAGCTGCAAAAAAAAAAAAACAAAGTCCACAGATGTGATGATGTTAATGACAAACCATTTTAGCCTGGATTACTTAACTATACCTTTTTATGGGTCTGTATCATGGATAATAAAGAACAGTATATATAATGATAAATGATTTTTTTTTCCTAGGCAAACAACCATTACCTTCCCATTTCATCACACATTCTTATTTACAAAACCAACTTGAACTGGGCCTAGGTCTGAAATCCAGTATTTAGTATCTGGAAGTTCAATCAGCAAGGAAGCTTCCGAACCCCATGTGAACACAGCTCATGTTTTAAGCAAGGGACAGTGTTCTTCATCTTATCTGTGCTGACTTCAGAGGAAGCAGCATCAGTCACATCCAGGAAACACACACCATTACAGAGAGCTGGAGTTCTCCCCTTGCAACCTTACTGGATGATTCTTCCTGATAGGAGGTGTTCATAAAGGCCTGTTCTGTGCTGAACATTGCCCCTTTCCACAAACAACTTATGGGAAACGCACTTTTAAAAAGTAAACAAAGAGCAGCAACCCACAACCTTATTCCAGCAAGGAAGTCTGCACTGAGCAGCAGACCTCATGCTGGAACAGACATTCCATACTTCCCTAGTATAGCTTCGTTAACATCAGTAGGGCTAATTCTCAGGAAACTGCATCTCTCATAGGCTGTATTTTTAGCTCCCAGAATAAATTCTTGTACCAGCTTTATATTAAAAAAAAAACAAAAACAACAAAACCAAACCAACAAAAAACCCACCAAAAAAACACACCACTGTTCTCCCTCCAGTAATTGTCTTGTATTCTTTTAAATTTTTGTTCTAATTCATTTTTATCTTCCTGCCTTTTTCTTCCCCTTTCTCTTTTCAACCTCTATTGACTCCAAATATTCTACCACTAGTAGTAAATTTCCTTGAAAAAAAATGCTTTAGCTCTACAACTTCATTTTTGCCATAAATTTTCATTTTTAATAGCTCATTGACAGAATACACACAACCCAAAGAAGTAATCATAGATCACGTTCTCTATTGACAATTTCCTGGATCAGGCCTCTTTAATTAAAAATTAGATGCACTTCATACTAGATAAGTCACTGAAAAGGTAAACAAGAAAGCGAAGACAAACTTCATTAAAACATAATGATTCTGAATTCCAAATTCAAACAGAATGTAGGCAATATTTAAAATAAAAAGCAAGCAAAAGAAAAAATGAGGAAAACTTTGGAAAAAAAACCCCAACACCCAAAATAAGATCTCTATATAGAACGCAATGAAACATATAGAAATACTTGCATACCAAAGTTGTTGTTTTCAAAGAAGTGCACTTCATTGTTTACATTCCTGGCACAAATGCTTTCGTCATCTGCCCAGCAAGGACACCTACATTTAAAGAAAAAAATTAGAAACACTGAATGATGCTCATCTTCAGCAGCCTGGGATTTTTTTTTTCTTCAATTTTTAAAGCCAAGCAAGTTCAAACATGATACATGTTTCAAATGGACAAATGACATCTGCATAGTAAAAAATATACAACTAGACTTCGTTGTCTCCCCAGCTTTCTCTGTGGTGCAAAATGATAGTGAATTTATACTAAGAAACAACAATTATAACTACATACAAAGATACTTACAAGCACAGATACTTGCTTTCAGCTAGTAGCAGGCAGTATTTTGAAAGCCAACACCACACTAAAAGCTCTATTTGCCCAGATCAGATTTTGGAAACCACATTTCTTTGCAAACAATTAGCAGCTGGAAATGTTATTTACCAGTTCTGCATCTTCTTCTGGATGAAAGATTTTAAACATTTTCCAGTTTTCACATCATGAAGTTGTAGGTTGGGCACCCCCGCTGTGCCATCTTTAGCAGCTGCAACAAAAACAGTAGCAGTCTCTGGGGATTAAATCTGCTTCACCATAATGATGTTCTCTCTCATGATTGCAGAAGCAACCAAACATGCATAAACTTCTTACCAGAAGCATCCTACCCTGAGGGACTAAACCCTAGGCTGCTAATTGCTTTACCTATGAACATAAGACTTTCTATAGTCTTTCAGTCTGCAGAAAGAACTAATATTTGGAAGTATAGGATTTCTACTCCTCATTAGAAGACTAGAACCACCAACACTAACACAGCTTTTTTAATGCGTGTTTTTTAACCAAAATCAAAAGCTGTCCTCTTCGCAAACAATGAAGGTATGTTCTCCACTCCTACATTTTGTTCTCACAAGAACGCAATGCATTTTGTCCATCACATTGCAGTCACAGCTCTACCTGCAAGCCATACAAAATGGTTCTGCTGGTTTTAAACTCTCTGTACCCTTCTACTCACTCAGGATACTACAGCCTGCCTATTTCCACCAATGATTCAGAACAGACCTCCTAACAGTTCTCTAACAGTCCACAGCTGGCATCAGTTCTGTCGCTTGTGCTGCCTTGTCTTATCCTACAACCTGTCCCAGACCACTTCCCACACGCTCAGCTTATGGCCAGCTTGCTCTGTCTAAGGAAGCATTTACATAGTCTACTTTAGACACACAACTTGGATGAGACGGAGGCTGTCTAAATCAGGAATATAAACTCCATAGAGAGGCAGAGGAGAGAACAAAGCCCTCTGGACGATGGAGAACACTCAAGTCAGCTATGCCCAGTGGAGGACATGACTACTCTGATGCAGCTTACAATCTTCCTGATCTGTATATGAATATATGCTGTTCAAGCAGCTTATATTCATAACACACTCATTGCACTAAGATCAGTTAGCAATTTTTAGAAACACATGATTTACTTAATAAATTAATTGTTAGTATATGCGCTCTGATTTAGTGTTTGTAGGAATGGTCGATACCAGATGCTTTCAGAAGATGGCATCCCTCCCTCCTCCACTATATACTTGATTACCCATATAATTTTCTGTACACTTTCTATACTGCTCATTTAGCCAATAAACATGCTACAATGACAAATCAGGTACTGGAAAGCCCACAAACTGAATTAAACTATGCAGTTACTCAGTGTACTTTTACAGCTGGAAAAATACTCACCTGTATAGGCCTGCCATGTTGCCAGAATATTATTCTTTGGTGAAAATTCAAGGCAAACTGCCTTTGGAAGATCAAAGGAACGCAGTAACTGAGCATTGGTGACATTAACAATATTTACTCTGGAACCAAAAGATGACATTTCAATAAAACATGCTTAGAACAGTTAATTAATAGCCAAGGTAACTTTTCATGTATTTGACTCTTCTGGATCTGTCCCAAATTTGGCCAAGGTAACAAAATTAGAAGAGCATTTTTCCCCTCCTGCTTTTACTAAATTTTTGCAAGAACACATTTTCAAACCAGATACCCAAGCATAACAGAAACTAAGTGAAAGCACTAGTCAAAACATATAACTTATTTTTATCTGCAACATTTGAAGTCTGAACAAGAGACAAGAAATACTCTAACCGTACAGAGTCCATCTACATTCCCACAGTGCTAAAGTTGAGCAACAGCCAACAGAAAGATTCTAACCTAATTAAAACACACATTTATCCCACATATTTTTAAAGGTCCTCTATCTAGAAGGATACAACTTGTAAGATTTGGGCTTTTTGAGGTTGGGGGATGCAGGGAGACATGGACAATAAAAAGCACAGGTCAGACGGCCGAACAAACAAGGTCAAGTGGCACCTCTGAACACTGTATATTAAAGATCTGCCACATACGGAATCCAAAGTAACAAAAAAGATCACATCAGGATGCATCCAAACCACTGCTGTTCTCAGAAGCTGCATTAGGAGCCTGTTCCTCACCACCTCATTCACTGCTCTCCCTCAAAAATGAAGGAAGATGGACAGCCCCCAAAACAAAGAGGCATGGCAGGACTGGAAAGATTTGCCATTTGGAATATATATGGGTACCTCGATATACAATCTGGTTGTTTGAAAAACATTTTTCCCCACAAACATTTTCTGGAAATGGACCTTTCCAATTGACAAAAATAAAGTTTTTAATGAAAAATGAAGTCTGAACATTTTGGAGAACCAAAAGCAACAGCAGAAGTTACAAATCCTACATCTAAGCTACCTACTTTAAAAGAAGTGGTTAAATATTATTACTAAATACTTTTGCACATTTTTTTTAATCTGTTAGTAAGAATACCATCATTTCATAAGAAGCCTGATCACCTCTTTACAGCAGCAACCCCATGATGCACTGTTATGTAAAGGATGATGTCTAGTGAACTCTATAATGCACCTGGTCTATAAAAAAAGGAAACCTTGTGATGTTTGTACATAAGGTGCATAGACTCTTCATTTTCTGTGACCTTTACTAATAGATTAATCTCAGAAAACCAGGTACTATCATACTGGGAACTATGAACAAAAAAAAAACCAAATAAAGCATATCCAGATTCCATGGGAATGGGTGCATTATAAACATGAGAAAAAACAGTAAATATTTCATCTGATATTCAGGAAACAAAGCCACTAGTGCCAATAACACAAAAATAAACTGCATTTAAAGCATGTATGCAAACACTTGCATTATTAGCAATAGCCTTTACACAGACAAGAGTAAACGGGGCATAACTGATCCAGTTTATTTTAATCATATAGTTTGTATTATATCATGAAATGCACCAACTTTTCTCCATTGCACCAGGCAAAGAGGGAACCATCCTTGCTAAAAGCAACAGCTTTGCAATTTTTTCCAGAGTCCCTAAAGAAATAAGAAATGCACATTAGTATTCAAACATACTGCATAAATTAAGGTATTTTTAACAAAAATACAAATTAACACACCAATTTTCCTGCTGCACTCCCAAGTGGCGCTTTGTAACAGTGTGATCTACTCTGCAATTGTTCAATGATTATTACCTGGGCAATGAGAAGTCAGGCAAGCATAAAACCATCAATTTTCTGAACTACTGAGAGTAGGAGAAAATTCACTTATGTTTATACATTTTTTAATTCTAGAGTCTACCTTTGCTTTCTAGAAAATTATTTCTTTTGTGCAAAAGATCAAAAATAGTGATAATAACAGTACCTTTGAAATGCTGTGCTCTCTGTGAAACTAGGTGGCCCATTCACCATATAAAGCCCTTCGGATCCTCTCACTGGAAGAGTAAACAAAGAACTACTCGTTTCAAACTCGGAAAATCATCCAAAGCAAAAGCTTTTTCTAATTTGTGAATGTTCAGACCTGCACACACTTTTCCCCTGCTTGCATTTTAGAGTAAAGGGGAGAGAGGGTTGTAAAGGAAATTCAGAATGTAACAGGTGCCGAGACACCTGGTTTCATCCAAAGTGGCCGCAGGATTAAAACACAGGACAGGGGCAGAGCTGAGCTGAGCTATCGGCTCCAGCACCAGCTCTGACACACAACCCGCAGGCAACTGAGGCGCCAGTTTGCCGTACAACTCCGCAGACGCAACAGCAACCAGCCAGCACTTCTCCGGAGCTGAGGACTGAAGTGGGACAACTGCTGCCGCTTCCAGCCTCCCCAGACCCACAGCCATGTGATCTGGTCCCCGCTTCAACCAGCAAGGCCGTTCCTGTGCAGCCTTCCCGATGGGGTCGGTCTACGGACCGGTTTGTCCCTCTGCTACGGGAGCATGGGTGCCAGTGCAAAGAAGGGAGCAGAAGCGCTGCCGAGGGCAGCGGGGCAGGGCGGGACAAAGCCAAACGAGGTGCATGGCAGAGGGGCCTAGGCGGGGGCACCCCTGGACCCCCACCCTTCCCCTGCTCCGGCAGGGCCAGCAACACCAGGCTGTGGGGCCCTGCCCGGCCAGGAGACGAGTATTCCCAAGGATGGAGACCTACGGCCTCTCTGGGCAGCCTGCGCCCATGTTCAGTCTCAGAGTAAAAATAGTTTTCCTTACGTTTAAGTGCAATTTCCTGACTTCCAGTTTGAGTCCATTGCCCATCACCCCCTCACTGGTTACCACAAAACAAGAGCCTGGCTTCAGCTTGCAGGATGACCTCAAACTACAAAAGAGCTGCACCTGCATAAGGAAGGAGGGTGGGACAACAGCTCATCCCAAAATGGCCGATGGTCCTCAGCTCTCAACCCTGCTGCAGGAGGCACTTTCATGAAGCCTAACCTGCAGAAGCTGAAAATTCTCCGTCGCTGCAAGAGTTGCACGAGAGTCCTGCACAATGGAGCTCAAAAAGGCTGCCTAGATATTCCCCAAAGTGAGGATTAGCTGCTTAAACACAGGAAGAGCATTTGCCAGAGAAAGATTCTGTTGGACTGATTTTTTTGCTGACATGAGACAGGATTTGCCCTATTGTTAGTTCCAACATTGGAGTTCAACTTGGAAAACAGAAGGCATGAAAGAAATACCAATACAAAATGAGTTTTAAATTTCATTCTTTTCAGGGACATTGCCATGCTTAGGGCACTACAAAACAAAGAAGAAATAAAGACAGATTCATGCAAAACCATCCAGTTGGAGTTGTCATATAGTGAATAAACCACAACTTTTTAAGGTCATTCTATGACAAGCATATAAAAATTCAAAGTTAAACCACAAAATGGCCAATTGTTATGTAGGCGTTAGCTGTGTTTTATGCATTTTCCTTTCACACCAAAGATGACTACTGAGGTGACAACTTTTTACTGTCAAACATGACTCAAGAAAGCAGGATCTGTGCTAGCTCAAGCTGCAGGTTCTGCAGCTGTATTATTTCAAGGAAGCGTTAGGGCCAGCAGCGCACAAGAGGTCTGACAGCAGAACAGAGCAACACTCCCGCTCAGCCAGGTCAGTCCTTACACGAACCGCGCGATGGAATCCACGTGCAGATGCAGCAACACCCAGATGACAGCAACATCTGCGACCAGACATCCTTACACTGCCCTTCAGAGCTGCTCTTTTAACTGCCACATAACCTTACTTCATCTCTCTGTTAGCACTTTAGAAATTAACAAATAGAAAACATTTTAAGCACTAGCTTATTAGAGTGGAGAAAATGCTGTTTTGATAGGTTTAAAATCCCCACCCGCTCTGTAGCCCTGTACTTCACTGGGGGCACACCGTGCCCCCGACACACCTCAAGGGTACGTTTTAACAGCACTTTAAATATGACCCACGAGCTTCGCACCCCTGCCTTGAGCCTGTTCTCCAGGTCCTCCGTCAGACTCCCAAGTTAAGATCCACATTTACAACGGATCACCGACAGTAGCGAGGCGTCCAAAATCCACCCCGAACAACTGCAGCCCCCCGCTACACCCCAGCGAGGACAAAGGTGCGAGTGTTTAAAGCTTAGAAGCACAGGAAAGGAAAAACGCGCGTCCCTGATGCTAGGGACAACTTAAAAAGCAGAAGACAGAGAAAAGGAAGAAGGACTCCCAAGAGGAACTCCACAGAACGCGGCGACCGGCCCGCAAAATGCCGCGGAGACGCTTCAGTCAGCTACGAGCTCCCGCCGGCTGCTCAGCGGTTTGGGGAGGGCCCCGCTCCGCCGGCCCCGCTACGCCGGCCCCGCGTCC